GACCGCCCTCGGCGGGGGATCGCCCTTGGGCTCGTCTCGGGTTGGGTGGACAGGCTCGTCTCGGGTTGGGTGGACAGGCTCGTCTCGGGTTGGGCGCACCGGCGCCGCCGCGGAGGAAGGCGGGCTCGACGACGTCGGTTGGCTGGCGCTCGGGCGCCGGGCCGTCTTGCGCCTGCGCCGCCGCGGGGGCCGATGCCGGGGCGGCGGCCGCGGTTCCCACGTTGTCGAGGAACCTCATGCCCAAGGTGCCAGCCATCTTGATGGTGGGTGCCGAACTGTGGGTGCGCAGCTGCTGCGCGAGCTCGGCGAGGGGGCGGAGCGCGGCGTCGGCTCCCGCGCGCGCCCGCGCAGCGGCGACCGCCTCGTCCGCCGCGACGAGCCGCTCCTTGCGGTCGGTGGACGAGGGGTGGTCGCGCAGCTCCTTGGCCTTGTACAGCTCGTTTCGGAAGGCGTCTAGCTCCTCCTCCCCGGCCTCGTCGGCGGCGTCGGAGGCGGAGAAGCCGAGCGTGGCGTCGAGCAGTGCGCGGAGGGCGGCGTACGTCGGCACGGCGCCGCCTGCGCCGGTGTCAGCGGCGCCGCCTTCGGCGCCGGCGCCCGCGGGGTAGGAGGAGAGGAACTCGGATATCGGCATCTCGATTGCCGCCTCGTTGTCCCCCTCCGTGACGATGACGGCGAGCTTGACGGTGGTGACGCCGTCCTCGCCGGTGCCGAAGGAGGTGATCTTCGCGCGTGCGCCCGTCGTGGGCGAGCTGCGCCACTTGCCGACGGGCTGCCGGAGGAGGCCCACTGTCCCTTTCTCGACGACCCTGCAAAGCCGTGCGCTTGTCTGCCCCGCGGTGGGGGGTGCCCGGCTGCTGAGGCCGATCTTGGCCTCCCCCCCAGCGCTGAAGCTGGTGATGAAGGCGATGCTCTTGGCGGAGTTCCTTTCCAGGATGAGGATGTCACCGGTCTCGAGGTTCGTATGGAAATCGCTCGGGTCCACGTTGGCTAGCTCGCCGGCGGCGCGCGCGGCGTCCTGGGGCGTCGCGCCCGCGATGGTTGGCAGCTGGAAGACCATCTCGCTTTGAGAACTGATAGGTTGGCGCCTGTCTGAGCAGGAGCCGACGCTAGTCCGGAGCTGTGTCGGAGCCTCGTGGCGCTCGGAGGTCCCGCGCACAAAGCGGCGGGCAGCGGCGGGCGCGGGATAAGGGTTCCCGCCCGCTAGGCGCTGCCCTCTGCGCCGAGGCTCGACCCGCTTCTCCTCAGTTCACTAGCACAAACTAAAGTTTGTTTATCAGGAACAAACAGAACAAAGGAGAGTGCGGGGCCGAGCCGGTGCGTCCTACACACGGTCACATCAAGAAAAACAGGGATTTTACTCCGCGCCGTTGCGTTTCCGTTGCCGGGGTTGCGGCGCAGCGCTATGCAGGACGAACCGTCATCAAAGCGGCCGAAGCTGTTCCCTACGTCGGTCGAGCCTTCGGCCGCCGCCACCGAAGCGGTGACCAAGTCACAGTCCAATCTTCCGCTCGCTCCGCTGGCACTG